AAAATGAAATGCCATAACAGTTTGTGTTGAGAATGGAAAAGTTATTGGAACAGGGGTGAGTGGAAGAAAGAGCAGGGCAGACTTCTGGTGCCTTCTTTCCCTGTGATACTGGTTCAGGTGAAAGCTGGAGAGTTGTGAGGGTGTCCTATTTGTTTTGTTTGAAAGAATGCTAACTGACATTTAAAGCAGAGTCCACGTCAGTGGCATGAAGGGAAGAAGAAAACTGTGTGAAACTTCATTTTAATTTCTGGTTTGGTGCTCTTTCTCTGTCAGGGCTACTTAAAACCAAACAAGCAACAAAAGCAACAACAAAATCCTTTAAAGAAAGCAGTGAGTATTCTGACTTTGAAATATCTTTGAGTGAGTCTGAGCACAGACTGCTGCAGAGGAAGTGCTTAGGGAAAAATTGTTCATCTGGGGTTTTGGAATCAGTTAGGAAATCATCAGTGCTGCTTTATATATGTACAAAGCTCAGAAGTCCTGTGTTTTCCTGATTGTATTTCAGGATGTGAAATATTACACTTCATGTTGTCCTGAACACTGCTGTGCTTGTCAGTAAAATACTGTACCTTGTGTTCCCATGCTGTGCCGGTTTGAATAACCCAGAAGGAAATCTCGCTCTGTGAATAACCTACAGCATATTGCCACAGAAGAAACACCAAAGTGCCCATAGGAATCCTGATAATCTCCTTGCTAACACCGTGGGCAGAGTTCTTGTGGCAGCTCAAAGCAAGGGCAGGTGAGAGGTTTTCACACTGCCTAAATACAAAAAACCCCAAACCAACAAAACAAACAAAAGGTCCTGCAAGGAAACTCTGTTTCTGAACCCTGACAATTTTTACATGCTTCTGCAAGGGCACTTATATTGTTGTGGTGAAGGTGAAATTAGGTGGCTGCACTGTAGTTCCTTGTCAGACAAGTCTTTAATGTGTCCACACATGGACTTAGTCTGGTTTATGCATGTGGCACATTAACCAACGTTTTACAGCTTGGCCCGTGGCTGTCGTTATTGTGGTTGAAAACTGGTGCTGAGTTATTTAAGAATGTCAGCTGAGGTGAAAAATTCAGTATGTGAAGTAATATCTGATCACTCTACAATTAAGCTCCTCTCTCTCTCAAAGTTTTTCTAGTATTTGCATTGGTATTTATCCCAGCACCCTTTAAATGAAATGCTGTGCTGTATGATGCTGCATCCCTAGCAACAAAGAATAATTTTCCTCCATGCAGGTGAGACTGGGAATAAGACATGTGCAGCTTGAAACACTTATCCATCAATCCACTTCTGAAAACTGCATGTGAACTTCACAAGTAGGGCACCAGTACAGCTATTGCTACACATTCTACTCTAAAATACGTATAATTTTTATAGAAGAGAAATTTGAACACATTTGTTTGATATTTGTGAATACAAAAACGTATGGCTGAGAAAGTACTGCTATGCAAGTTTATTTGTAAGGCTGTAATACTCCAGAGGAATGTTTTAATATTCTCCTGCAAATTATTGTTTAAAAAAGAAAAGTATCAAGATTTTACAAGCTCTGCCCCAGATCCGGTGGCCATTTATAGTCAGCCTAAATGGTCTTGCTAGATGTCTGTGGAGAATTCAGACTGGTTTTCTCTGTAGAGTGTTTTGTAGATAATGAGGCAAACTTCCACCTTTTTATTACTCATTGGAATAATTTAATGGATGCAAATGAAATTTTCCAGACTTAACTGAAATGATGTGTATGCCATCTCACCCTCTTCCCACATGCTTCAGATGTGAAGAGATTTTCTTTCTGGTTATAAGCAAGCAGAAAAAGACCGTCTTGGAGACATTTGCAGAAGGGCTGCAAGATAAGCAGGATGTGCGTCCTGTTTTACTTCTGGTTCGAACAGCAAAAATACAGAGGGATTTTTGCTAAGCACTTTCAGCTTTCTTTAGGCTATGCAGGAGTTTCTTTCATAATTGTCAAGAAAATCCAGAGTTAATCCTGGTGAGAGGTGTAAGTCTCCTCATGAACATCTGTCTTCTGCCAGTGGGGATTACTGAGAGCATTCCTGTGTGCTTCATCCCCATAGCAGGCTGTGTTTGGGCAAGGGTGGGCCTTTCTAGGGTGTGATTGTGGGGGGTTAGGTCGGTGGTCTGCCTAGCTCAGTATTTTGTCTCAAGTAATGCAAGTAGAGTTTGTCCAAGGAAAGAGGCATTTAAGCAACAAAGCATGCATACAGTGATCTTTTCCCAATTTTAATTTCCCAGTGAGCAACAGTATAAAAAATTCGTGAGCCAGAAGCTGTATCAAAATCACTTTTCAATAGCTATGGATCCTCCTTTAATCTATTTATCTCTTTTTCTGAGTGCTGTTAAGCTTTTGATTTCCACAGCATCCTGTGATAAAGAGTTCGTGATTCCATCCTGAACCTTTTTCTCCTAACGGACCTTGTCCACTGTTCCTGTTTCATCAGCTGCTCAAAAGGCAACTGGACAGAGATTTCCATTTTGCAATGTGGAGAGGACTGAGCAGTATGTAATTCTTTGATCCTCTTGAAAACTTCTGAGAACTCAGTTTCCTGGTTCTTTTTGTCAAGCTTCTGGCAAGCCTGTCAATCTCAGTCTTTTAGGTGCTTCACCTTAGTATAGTACAGTCTCATTACCCAATCCGTAAATTGAGATGAGTTCGGGCCTGGCTTGAGACCTGAATAGTCTACTATAAGTCACCTTTTGCAACCTGTGAGGTAATCTTACCCTTAAGTCTCAATTTCTGGTGAAGGATCAGGACACTTGACTGGATTAAATTTAATAAAGCTGGTGGATCTGAGCCAGGCTTACAGCTGATGTGTATGGCTGTTATGTTATAGTCATATGCACTGATAAAATTCTTTCACTCTAGTTTTCCACGCTTATTCTGTTCAAAACCGTATTAAGCTATTTGCAAAACATAATGTTTTGTACCTCTCTAAAAATAACAATTTGCCGCTTCCAAATGCAGCTTATGGATTTTTATAAGAAGACAGCTTTTTTCCCTCACTCCTGTTCCTTCAACCTTGGTGCCTTTGGCTGTAAGAAAGGAAAGGAGCCTGTTACTGCAAAAAAGAACTTAACTTCATTTGTCTGAAAGTGATTTGGAAACTTGTACAGCTTTATCTCAAGTTTCAAATAATCACTGCAGTCAGGAGGTTTGCAGACACTCTTCTGGCAAGCCTTATAATCATAGAAAAAAAGCAGTCTCAATACAGGTAAGATGACCTTCTTTGGCTCACGTAGTGTATCACAGGAAGCTGTACTGACATTCTCAAATCCATCTCTTGTACTTTGTAGACAATTAAGGCTGCTGAAGTAACAGACTTTCTTGACCAGCAGTTCTGTTTTTCCATCTAGGAAAAAATTCCATTTATCTTGTATTAAAATACAGCCAAGCCTGCAACAGTTCCCTTTGAAGAATACTGGCTTGTACTATTGTTTAAATTTATGGTCATGACTCTTCAAGTCAAAAAGGAGAGTTTCATTCGCAGTTAGTATAGATGGGCTTCTGGGTGAGCTGGCTGCGTGTGGTATGCACGGTCCTTTGGTCACCTGGCAAAACACACTTGGAGGAGAAAGTCAGAGATGTGAGAGGCATTAGGAAACTTCAGGGTATTGCAGTGAGTATACTCCACTTGATATTGAGTTATGCTTTACAGATATTCTTGTAGTATAAAGCTAAAGTTGCCACTTAAAAAAAAAAGTGTGAATAAGGAAGAAGGAATCTTGCTTTGAAGCTGTTGAAATCACTTCTGGGAAAGCTTTTAAAGTTGATACTCGTGCCCCTTCCCAACTCTCAACAGAAAAACACTTTTGTCCTGTTTTGCAAAAGAAAAATCATTAGGATACTTAATTGTTTACACAAATCTTAAGAGAAAGCATACTGTACGCCAAAATAAATCTGTACACTGCAGTGTGGAGGCACCAGAAAGAAAACCAGAGTTTGATGGTTGAGCAACATTCCATTACGTGCCCTGAAACTAGAGTGAATATAGTTTTCCTTTTAGCCAGCACTTAGGTTTTAAAAAACAGAGATGAAAGTTGGACAGATGGACATTTAGGTATGTGCTTAGACACCTACTATATGTTTTTTTTAAAACTTTCTACATAATTGGTACTGTATCATGCCAAATATGCAGTGGTGATGTTGGGAGACAGAGTCATTATTCTGCCTGTTTTGCTTGTTTGACTGATCCTTAGTGTGGGTTTTGTGTGGAAACCTGTAGCATTTGGAGGGAAACAGTGCACTCTAAATTATTCAGTGGAATGGAGAATACAAGGATATAACAAAATCATAGGTGCTGTTCCTTTTTCTGTCATGGAGGAAAGACAACCGTTGTCTTTGGAGTTTGGTGCTTTTGAGTCCCGTGGAGAAGAAAGGGACTGTAACTGCCTTTACAAAATACAGAAACATTCAGTATCAGAAAGGTTATAAAACATTGACTTCAGGGTTTTTAAAAATTCTTACTCTTTTAGAACAGTGTTATTTTTATTATTTTTTTCCCCAGAAATCATGGGTTATATTTAAACAGCTATCTGTGTTTCTGTGGACAACACTGCTGAAACTGATAATGTATGTGTATTTAGGACTTTCTTTTAATCACTTACTCTCACTGGGAGAGAGCTGCAAGGACAATTGTTTTGTGCAGGTGGTGGTAGTACAATAGTAAAATAATATGTTGCTTGACTGTGGAGTTTGCTTTGAGGCTGACAAACTCAAAAAGGACCTTATGTGCTTGATACTGAGAAAATGACATTTATTGCACCTACTATTCCTATGTGCAATATCCCTGAATGAGCTGTGCAAGTTCTACATCTTTCCAGTTACAATGGTTGAGCTGTAAAATAAACAACTACATATTTTAAAACTCTCAGCAAGCCCCCACATAAAATTGATTATCCAACAGAGAGGATGAGTCAATATGTATGTTTAGAAAAAAAAAAAATCCATAAATTTATATAGTTCCTGCTCTGATATATATTTTTTTTTCCTCTTTAGTTCCTTGGCATAGCATTTCTTGGGATTGGATTGTGGGCATGGAATGAAAAGGTAAGTCGGAACATAGAACCAGGCTCCAGGTTTTTCCTCTTTCTCTCTTTTTCTGATGAAATACCAGAATAGTAATATGCTCCACATTTGTATGTGTCCACACACAGTTTCTAGTGAAACAAAATCAAGCTTCTCTGTCAAATAAAACCTTGGCTCAGCTCACCTAGAGGAAGATCCTTGGCATCTTTCCCAAGAATGCCTTGGCAAGAAATCATGGCTGACACTTGCACATAAAATAACCATTTCAATCCATGTGTGCTCAAACTGCAGCTCAGATAGTAGAACACTCTACTGAAGGCAGTAGTGGCAGTGTGTCACTGCTGCATGTGTCCCCTGGAAGGGAGAGGGAGCCCACGTGTCTCAGAGGGCAGCTTCCTGAAAATAGGCCTCCTTGGCTTTGCCTTAACATAGCATGCTAATTGCTGTTCTTAAACAAAACAAACAAAAAAAAAAGACCCCAAACAACAGACCCAAACCAAAATGAACCCCCAAACCCAAGCCAAAGCTGAGACAGAATAACTGTTGTTTTTTCTTGTGCAAATAAAACTGTCCACTGGAACACTCTCTGTTGCAAGACTGTAAAATCAGCTTGGAAATGGGAAGAAAGGGGGTGGGGAAAGAGAAAACATTTGTGAACCAGAGCCTAATTTTTAGTGTGCTTGCTGCAGAATCTGGGAAGAAAAAATATCCAGATACAATATCCAAAACAAGTCAGTATGTGTTTGGTTACTGGATGAGGAGTTTGGCTCGCTAAAAGGCAACAGCTAAAATCAAAGCCAGAATTTCCTTTTCTTCTTTGTTTAAAAGATTGAAAATAATAAAACCTGGCTGATAACAGTCATGCTATGATATTCAGTTACGTAATGTTTTTTTCTTCTTTTAATGGAAAACACTGACTAAGTTAAAAATTGATGTTCACTTAAGGCATAATAACTGGTGCTTGCAGCAGAACAAATAACACATTGGAAGTGCTGGAGTTTTGCCACTTAAAAATTCAGGACAAATTTTGCTGGTTGAGAAGCAAGTTGTAAACTTAGATTCTAATTGCTCTATGTGCATGTGCCTTGGATGTAGATAATTACAAATAGTAATGGGATATTAATTAACTCACACTGCATGCACCCATATATATGTATATTTACATACTATATGATACTCATGTTGGATGGCTTGACTAGGCTTGGAAAGAGATGCTGTGATTTTTTTTTTTTTTTTCATTCAGCAAAGATGTAAAACCATGTTATATTTAATACCCTGAGCATACTCACAGAGCTTATACCTCTGTCTAAGCTCCAGAGAAGAACTTTATTTTTGAGTGGCGTTCTAGAAAAGATTTTAACATGTTTGTATCGTTTCAGTAGGTAATGCAAATGATTCCTCTTTTAGAATGAATAGGCAGGTAAAGGGAAAACAGCTATAGTCTAGTGTTTGAAGCCTAAAATATACCAGTTCTACAGCTAGAGGGTGTTCTGGCAACATAGTGGTTTGTTAGGTTTTACGCATTTTCTATATGGGAAAGCACACACCCACACCCACACACCTCCCAGCCCCACCCGACCCCCCCTTCCTAGCCAGAGGCCAAAGCTCATGGTTTTACTTGAGATTTGGACATCTGTTATCAAGTTACCTTAAACCATTTTTAATCAGATTGTGAAAGTGAGAGAAAATGCCATGTTGTTTTTAAGACAAGCAAATAAAATCACCTAGAACAGTTTAATATGCATTAGCTCAGACTCCATATGTAGTTTTTCTGTAGAAATTAATAAATTAAATACTGTTTATTGCTTTAAAGCACAGGTTTTTCTTGGAAAAGAGCATCTCTCCCCAGCTTCTTGTAACTGTTGTGTACTGCGGTGCTTAGTGTGGACTGTTTCAGTTCATGGTTGTATCAACCAAAAGGTGGTATAAGTATAGCTGAACTGCAGAGCTCTTGAGCACAGACTTGATTTTTGTAGCAGGAACTATGGAAAAATGAATTAGTGTCAAGCCAGTTTGAGACTTCTCAGCTTTCTAGAGGACAGGCAATGGCCAGAAGTTGCAGTCAGCAAGATCAAGTTCCAGATACTCATAGGCCCCATGCAATGTGGTGGCGGGCAGATCAGTTACATCCCAGAGTTGTTCTTGCTGCAGCTGGGGAGTTGGAGGCGAAGGCCAAGTAAGTGAAGCCTAAGACTTGAGAGATCTGTAACTTAACTGAAAGGCATTTCTCTAGCTAGGCTGCTTCTTTCCTGAGGCTAGCTGGGATATATCTCAGGCATTACGGGCTGTTGCAGTAGTATACTGTAAGAAAACAAAGCAGCTTTGGAGAGAAGGACCTGGGGGTCCTGGTGTACACCAAGTCGAACAAGAGCCAGTACTGTGCCCTTGTGACAAAGGCAGCTAACAGTGTCCTGGGCAGTATTAAGAGCGTTGCCAGCAGGTTGAGGGAGTGGATTCTTCCCCTCTATGCAGTACTGATGAGGCCATGCCTGGGCCAGTTCTGGGTTCCCCAGTATAAGTGACGCACTGATGTACTGGACAGCCCAGCAAAGGGCTGCCTAGATGATTAACAGGCTGGAGCATCTCTACTATAAGGAGGGGCTGAGGGAACTATGACTGTTCAGCCTGGAGAAGAACAGGCTTGGGGGAATCTTAATGTATATAAATACCTGAAGGGAGAGTGCAAAAAGGATGGAGCCAGGCTGTTTCCAGTGGTGCCCAGTAATAGAGACAATAGACGCAAACTGAAACACAGGAAGTTCCCTCTGAACATCAGGAAATCTTTTTTTTTTTTTCCTTCTTTTTTTTCTTTTCTGTGAGGGTGACCAAGCACTGGCACAGTTTGCCCAGAGATGATGTAGAGTGTCCTTCTTTGGAGATATTCAAAAGCAGTCTGGACATGGTCCTAGACAGCCAGGTCTAGGTGACCAGATGACCTCCAGAGGTTCTTTCCAACCTCAACCATTCTGTGAAGACTGCCACTGTCCCAATGAACTAAGTCTTTAGCAGAGTTAAACTTGGTGCTGCTATTGTATAATGCATAAATATAAATTCTAAGTTTTTTTGCAGGATTGGGTCTTCAGAAGGACTGTTCTACTGTAAACTGATTTGATGGTGGGAAGGATTTTGATTTACTTCTATCTTGAATTGTGTGGCTTTATATCCAGCTGTGTTGTTTTATAACCCAGCCATCAACTTGTATATATAGAATCATTTTAAGGTAAAAAGACAGTGTGCCAGGCCACATTAAAAATGCAGGATGTAAAGAATTAATCCCCATTTTACAGGAGTCCTGCTTGCTGCCGGCTAAAAACAGTTTGGGGTAGATTTGTGGGTTTGGTGGCCAGTTTCTCTTTTTTGCTAGGTTGGCTTTAATTCTTCCCTTTAAACTTTGTTGTAAAGAAGGAAAAAAAGCACACTATACAGTCTCGTGACCTTCCTTACAGCCTTTGCAGGGAGGCAAAAGAGCTCGTTTGTCAAATAGGCAATAGAATTGGCTTGACAGCCAGTCAGCCAGCCCTAAACAAAAACTGAGCAATTAGCATTCTGAGTCATGAACCTGAAAGAGAGCTGGGGGGTGGGGTGGGGGCAATAAACTCGGAGGACGAATAAAGCTGTCTATACATGGATGCATGATATAGCTCACAATCTCGCAGTGTTTTCAGGCACGCTAGACTTGGGCTTGTACCATAAAAATTTTATCCATGGCAGCTGATTTCCACCCCCACCCCTACCAACAGTGACGTGAACATTGTTAACATAGAAAGTGTCTGTACTAAGCCCAAGCAACTTATACTACCTTTGCTCAGCAGCAGGAGAAAAATGTTTGTTTTGCTGGCTTTGAAACACTTCAAGTCACTTCTTCTGTTTGCTTAAAAATAAACTAGACTTGTACAAAATACCTATTTCCCTTCTTGGTTATATATATTGGATAATGTGGTCTTAAGGCTTATTGGGAGTGTTCATGGTATGATGCCAGTAGGTACCTGGGAAAATAAGCTTCTTGGTTCTGTCACTACCTGCAGGAGATTTATATTTAAGAGAAGTGAGAAGTAAGTGATGAATTGCTGTTATGTCTTCTGAGACCGTATAGACTGTCCATAAAGAGGGAATTTTTAGAAGGAAAGCACTTTGGTTTTGGGGTATACATTAAGTAGGAGGTAGCAAAGGTAGAAATACTAAAGTGGGAGGAAAAAAATCAGGAGATCCTTGCAAAATTTGTCAGTTAGACTTAGTTCATGTATAAGGTTGACTGAAATGAAGAGGGAGAAGTGGAAGAGGTTGATTATGTGTGTAAGTTCAGTTTCTAGGCTTTCCTTGTTAAGTCAGCTTAACTGGAAGACACTCCAGCTCAGAAGTCAAGTTGTGTGTAGTCTGCAGTATCAGTATGGTACCTCTGTGGGCCAGCATAGTATTCTTGGCAAGCAGGAGCTCTAAAACTGGATCTCAAGTTGTAAGCTAGACTTTTACGCGTTGATATAGGGTGATTTAGGCCTGCTTTGGTGTTCTGGGATGGGCTATACTCCCTACGTAGAAACAATCACAATTTGTCAGACCAGGTCTGTCGCTTCTTTTACTGTCCCAGTGAGTGGCAGACATCAAGAGGGAGTGATGTGCTAGTCACTCCATAGTTGTTGTGCATACATGTTTATCACATGGTTCTCTTAACAACAATTGCCAACAAGGAAACTGTGTGCATTATCCTGTGGATCCTTGTGGGCTGAAGGATACCCAAAGCATTTATCTTGCTTCTAAGCAAGGACTGCGTGTGTAGATTTTACAGGACTGGGGAGAAGAGAGGGATACTAACATTCGCTATTAAATATAATTAAAATTTCAGTGCATAAAGATGGATTATCTAAGCAGGCTTTTGAATCATTTTACTAGTGTTCCAACACCTTGTAACCATTAATCCTGAAAAATGTAGACATTTGTATCTTGGATGTACTTATGCCAGTTATTCACCTATTGAACTCTGCTTTGTCATGACAAGAAAGCTAAACTAGTTCTTCTTCACCAGAAACTTGAAAAATAAAGTTCTGCTGCTATTACTGTTTGCTGTGGGAAATGCAAAACCAACAAAAATCAAGGAAATAAGATCTGTAAACATCCCCCACCTAGTTTCTAGCTTGCAGAGACAAAATTCTTGAGTGGAATTAATTTGGCACGTTTCAAAGACTATTGTTCTGTTCCCCATGCTTATTCAGATGCACAGCATGGAGAAACTGCATGGATTTTATGACTAACAAAGTAGAGAGACGTTTCTCCATTTTAAAATCATGCATTTGGAAATACTTTTATTTCCTATCACCCCCATGTGTTCGTGTTCGCCAGTGATTCCAAGTCCTGCAGATGAGCTTGTGGAAATGCTAATCCTCTGTTTGCAAAGAAGAAATGTTTTAGAAGATCTAGTATTACTGAATCTTTTTCTGAGCATCTGCTTTTTTGTCCCCATAGTAATGGGATTCTGCAGCAGGGAAGGTTTTTTTTCCCATCTTGGAGAAAATGGAAAGAAAAATAGCTGATTTCTCCCATCCTACTGGTGTTGGTTTCTTTTCTTTTTTTATTTTAATGGCCCTCTGGGATGTTTGTCATGGGGACTGTTGTGTTGAGTCCTGTTCCTTTACGTGCACTCCCGTGGGCCAAATTTATCACCTCTTTGTTCCCAGGATGATGATTCTCCAAGTTGTCTCTGACACAGGATGCCTTAAATTTTCATTACTGGACAGTAGTACAAATTGTCCCGATGATCTTAAAGAGTACAAGATGGAGACCCTTATTGCTTTTCTAAGTGACTGTTGCTTCCTTATTTTTATTGACGGGATAAAGGCAAACAATTGTGCTGCTATAATATCAACAGGGGCTTTCTTGAGTTACTGCCTTCAAGATCAGCACTTTTTCGTTTGCCTTGTTCTCCCTTGAGTTATGCATGAGATCCAGCTTGTAGGGTGGAGGGCTCTGGCCATGGGGAAAAAAATGGCATGACAACAGAGGATCTGTCGCTGGATTCAGGCATCTCTCATAGACTGTTTTTCTGCCTGTGCTGACATACCATAAGGAGAAGACTCCAGTTCTGTAGGAGCTTCTGGTGGGCCTGGCTTGGTTGTCTCATGTTTCTTGGTGGAAGGCACCACCAGTGCCTTTTCCCCCCACTCTTTTGTTGGAGAAAAGAGCAGGTCATACTGTTTCACTTGACTTCCTTGCCTGAGTTTGGGGTGGGGTAGGAATATGAGGTCAGTCTTCCCTATTTCATGCCTACATCATTGTATCCTAGTGATTGAAGTACATTTAACAAATAAAGAAACTTCTTTCTTTCATAACTTCACCATTATTGATTTTAGTTCAGTTATGGATGATGCTTTTGTTGCTTCACTACCCCAAACAAATTTCGACTCATGGTGGATTAAAAGCTTAAGTAATAATGCAGGCACTGTAATGTACAGCAAGCAATTGAGAGTGGGGTAACAGAGCAAACAGATGAGCTGGAGATCAGCCAGGGAACGTGTCCGACCGGCTCTCCTTGTGGGACTACAGAAGAGTCCTGGATTGATGCCATCATGTGAAGAAAGTTTTAGAGTATGTAGCTTTGCACAAACAAAGTGTTTACTGCCAAATAAAGATTACGCACATGCCTAAACTACCAAGAAAATGATGTGTGTGTACCCCAGAAAAATAACTGTACTTCCAAAATGAGAATGTGGGTTTAGGAAAAAAAAAAAAGTATTTCCTCCTTTCAGATGCTAAAGCATCAGTAGTACTTGCAACTAACAGTAAAGGTTGGACTGGACTACTGCAGTAGCGTTGCTTAGAAAAATACTTTGCAATTGTAGAAGACCTGACTTTAAAGGATTTACAGGTGGCTTGTTTAGGTCTTGCATTGAGGCAAGAGATCAGTCGACAAACAGCCACCATATAGTCCAGCTGACTGGTCAGCCTGACGATTCAGAGTGTGTCACTGGAGGACTCAGTGTTAGAATATGAGATTCCTGATCCTCTGCTCAGGTACCTCTGGAAATGTTTCCTTCTGCTTTTGGCTAAAGATGGGATGAAGACAGAATTGTTCACTACTAGGTGTTTGTACATCTCTGCCAAACTTTCCCCAGAAGTAGCCACGACAGTCAAAAAATACTGAATACTGTGGTAGTGGGCATTATAGAAACTTGCAGTGGATAGGAAAAGTACGTGCCTATTATAGGACTATACATTTAGTTGTTCTTAATGGTATAAAGTGAGATAATATTCCTCGGTTATTGCCCTGCTGCTTGAAGCAAAATATGCTTTTCTTTAAAGTATTGCACCACTGTCTCTTCAGAGAGCTTCTATGTTAGTGTCCAGAAAAAAACAAGACTGGAAAACTGTATTTCAGCAGTAAGTAGCAATCTTCTATCAGACTACCTCTGTGCATCTGTAGCTGTCACCACAGAGCATTGCTAGCTATTGTTTTATTGCCAAAGCCTCTCTGAAGATTGTATATCCTGAGATATCTCTCCAGAATACTGATAACTTGGGATTCATATGCAGGAAGCAGAGAATTACACAGTATGTGCTTTGCGCTGTCAGGATGTGTTATTTGGGGTTTATCCAAGCCAGGCTTATGATTGTCATATGTGGACTAGCAAAAGAGGCACATAAAAGTGCTTTCCAAGGACAGCAAACAATGGCAGATAAAGCTTGTGTTGTTCTATTTCAGTACATGTCAGATCTTAGCAACCCTGAGCATTTGGAGCCTGGAGGGGACCAGAGATTAGATGAGTGACTTTTGTCAGGATAAGTGTTCATTTCAGCCTGGCTTGTACCATCTCATCACTAGTTAGTTAGCAAAAGGGATGTGCCAACTGGTCTGCTTTGATAGCAATACTGGCTCTGAGCAGCGTTGTTATATCATGCCTGACGCCTATTTTTGTCTTTTTAATGAATGACAATAAGACTAGTACTATGTGTAATGTAGGAGGAAAGTGATGAATGTGATTTTTTTTTTTTTTTAAAATGTATTTTTTTAATGCCTCTCTGTCAGGCAATAGCCTTCTGTAGTAGGAAGGAGAGGAATCCGTTTTGAGAGAGTCATTCATGCTGTTGGTGTATTGTTCGTGCTTTAGGATCGGGTTGCAGTTAGGTTTTTCTTTTGCTTTTAGCATGCTGGCCTTTTCCAAGGCTCCTTGCTGTGTGTATTGGAGAAATTCACATGTGTGTATTTTATCCAGTCTATTGGTGTCTGCAGAATTAAAAAGCTTTGAGTACTGTCTTCATTTACTACTCGCTCAGTGTCAGTTTTCCTTGGGAAACTGTGGAAGTGGTTGCAGACTATGTGCAGTACTGTATTAGAGATGTTGGTTATATGGCTATTTATACATTCTGGGTGGTCCAAACTGAGTATATTTAAAAAAAAAAAAATTAAAAAATCACAGGTCTAAAGCCACAGTTGTGAACAGTCATCTGTTAGCAATGTTACTAGCCTCTTTTGGAAATGAAGTTATGATAATTTCCTTCAGAATTATTGCTGGTTTGGGACTATTTCAAAGGAGCAAAGGAGATAGAAACAAGGAAAAGAATGAAGAACTTAATAATTCTGCACATAGGGAGCTGTGGCTTGAAAAGCAACAGTATAGACCTTTACCTGTCTATACTGTTGCTTTTCAAGCCACAGCTTCATTCAGAGTTAGTGGGGAAAGCAGTAGTCCAAAACACTCAGCCTGGGTTCAGACTTCTTTGAGAAACCCATGGAGAAATGTCTGCTACAGCACAGTATACTTTGCATTGACCTACAGCACTAGAGAGGTGAATGAAGAAATAGTGATACTTCAGCCTTTTTGCTGCCAAAAGGGTTTAGGAAACTGTAACTGTTCCTGTGCAAACTCACTGGAATAAGGAAGACTTTGTACTTGCTTCTTGATATGACCCATCTGTTCAACATCAGCCAAACTCTAGTTAAAATGTGTTCAAAGAAATAAAATAGTTCCTCAGGATTACTGGCGTCACAACCCAAGCTCTGCTTCTGAGGGGGCAATGGCATTGCAAGCAGACTGTGCTGACTGTCATATCTAAAACACAGCATATGTGGTTTACCATATGATAAGTCTAACCTAAGTTAGTGCTAACCATCTCCCAAGACAAGTCCTTAAACTGCCTTATGTCCTACTGAGAGACTTAACATTATTTTCAAAATTTTCTTGCTGATTAGTCAGTAGCCGTACTTCATTTATATAATGAGTTTTTGGCACTGTAGGTGCCTGAAGTTGAATTGGCCAGGTATCTAGTTTGTCAAAATTTGGTTCTAAATTTGTTGTTGCGAGATGCTGCAACCTAGGAGGAGCTCGCTTCTATTTTCTGTCAATTGTTGTAAATGCTGAGCATAAATGCTAAACTCAAGGTGGTGTTCCTGCGATTGACCGTGTAACTGTGTGCTTACATAAACAATGTATATGATACCTAAAATGTATCTCAGCATGGGTAATAGGATTGTGTTAAGTTCTGTTCAAGTATCTGTTCTGACTTTCTGGCAGACTAATTCTCATAGCTACAGAAGCTGTGGTTTCTCGCAGAGGACTCTGGAAGCACATTTTGTTGTTCATTCCACATGTTGATTCAGAAATACTGTACATAAGTGCCCTTTTTATCTCTTTTTGAATGCAAAGATTTGCTTAATTATGTTTTCTTGATGTACTGCAGAGCATATATTTGCTGTAGTCTTCTACCTTTAAGAAAAAAAAAAATGCAAGCAGAATTTGTACAACTGAAAGCTGAACATACCTGTTATCCCTTGGTGTTGTTTTTTTTCCCAGGGAGTGCTGTCCAATATTTCCTCCATCACCGACCTGGGAGGCTTTGATCCAGTTTGGCTCTTCCTAGTGGTAGGAGGAGTTATGTTCATTTTGGGATTTGCAGGATGCATTGGAGCTTTGAGAGAAAACACCTTTCTTCTCAAATTTGTGAGTAGCCTTTGCAACTGTGGCATTCACGGGTTACATAGCATTAAATCGTGTTCTCTGTTCTTGCTTAAGCTCCTGCTTAACTGTGTAAAGATTTAAAAACGTCTTGGGGAGCAGAAGGTGTTATCTGATGTGAGAGCACTGTTCTGTGAATCGCTTTTGCTTAACTGTTCACGCTTTACAGATCTTCAGTCTCTGGTGCTTACTGTTTTGGGTTTTTTGAGGTTTGAAACTATTGATGGTAAGAATCATAACATGGAACTACTGCTTTTCATATGGATATAGCCTAACATTTTGCTTTCCTGTCACGAAAAGAGAGAAATTTCTGCTAAGAGTCTGCATGTTGAACTTTGAGTCCATAAGATGCCTATGAAGTATGAGGAATGTAGATACACCACTGAATGTGACCCATGTGATTTCTGCTGTGCAAGTGCCCCTCCCTTCATGGTTCAGAGGAGATAGGACTGTTACGAGGGGTTGCTCGCTGATATCCTCCGTTCTGTACCATTTAGCTAATTTGAAAAGGCTTCGTTGCTTACTGTCAGTGCTGGGGCCTGAGAGGCAGAAAGAGAGGAGAATGTGCCCAGGATAGGTAAAGCAAAACAAAAGTTGTAGTCTTGAACTCTGGGCTGGACTGTTGGTTGGGGAAGGAGCTGCTGGTATACAAACACACCTCAGTATTCAAAGCTCCTGTAGCTAAGTAGCCTGGTTCTGTTTTTTGAAGGCCCTCCTTCTGTGAGCTTTGAAGATAAGGATAACAGTATCATGTTCCATTTTAGATAAATTTAAGAAAATTTTAAGATTTGTAATAAAAATTCAAGATTCTTTCCTCCACCACCCCAACTTCTGGAGGTGGGCAAAGCCTAGGTATTAGCTGTGTCTTCGTAACACTAACAGTTAATATATATGTGAAAAGGCTTCCAGTGAAACAACTGCCTTCAAGTGACATATTTGGCTCCCACAGACACGTTGTATAAGGGGAGGAGGCAGTTGAAAGGTACAGTTTTTTAGGCATTTATGAAGTAGCTTGGGATAGTTCTAGCTTGCTCTTGTCTTGCCTAAAAAAAAAAAAAAAAAAAAAAAAGGGGTGGGGTGGGGTAGCTATTGTAACACCTTTTTCTTCTCCTCTTCCTTGTTTCTCTTAGCTTGCCTGAAATGAACCCATCTGCTGTACCAGAAATAGCTTCCTAACAGCAGCTGCAGGAGAAATTAAAAATGCATCTGAACAAACACAGAGAGCATATTAAAATGAAACTCAAAGGCGCAGTTGCAAAAGGGATGGACTTCCAGTATATGAGGACCCCTGTGTGTTTTAAAACAGTGTAGACTCAGTGGAGATGCTTAGAGAAAGTGGCAGATCATTAGTAATGCCTTTGGCATCCATTGCATTTGCATTAATCATAGCAGCCTCATTTGGTTTTAATGTGGATGTGAGTCATTCCATAGACATTCTGCTCTGACTTAGTCATTAATTAATTTCTGCTGTTACCAATTTTTGCTTTGTCCGCTTAGGCAAAGCTTTACCAATGAGGGTGTCTAAAGAAAAATTCACATAAAAGGCATTTCACTGGCACTATTGGTTGTTTATGCCTTTGAAGATGTAAGTACCTACACAGAAATTTAAGAAGAGTTTTCAGAGGGCCCTGCAGGTGGTGAGTAGCTATCTCTGTTGAAATTTACAGTGAGTTCTCTCATACCTCTCTGAAAACCCCAGTGAAATGTCCAAAGTTTGACTTTGCTGGCATATTTATTGTTTGTTAGAATAGAATTCAGATTCCTATACTACAGCTCTAAGTAAAAATGGTGTATTTTTAATTTAAAATTCCCTGTGTGCTGGAAGAGCTTGAACTTGCACTGCAACAGATAAAGCCCTAACACTGGACATAATTGTGAAAAATAAGGTTTAGGTCATAAAGCAAAATAATTTTAACCTTTTTCTTTTTCTTCATAGTTTTCTGTGTTTCTTGGAATTATTTTCTTCTTGGAGCTCACTGCTGGTGTTCTAGCATTTGTTTTCAAAGACTGGATAAAGGACCAGCTGTATTTCTTTATAAACAACAACATCCGAGCATACCGAGATGACATTGATTTGCAAAACCTCATAGACTTCACACAGGAATATGTAAGTTGGACTTTTTTTTTTTTTTTTTTTTTTTTAAATCTTGCTTTAAAGAAATACCTACTCTGTTTTTTTACTTCCCATCTGCTTATTTTCTTCAGGAACAACAAATATTCTGGCGTATAATACTTTTGAATAGATATATATATGTATTTTTCCCTTGACAGAACTTCTGCAAACACACAGCACCTGTGAGAAGTGGCTTATTCGCTCATGTATGACTGAGCAAAACAAGGTGGAGAGTTGGGGTGATCTATTCTTGAAGATTGAGAGACCATGTGTCAAATCTACCAGTTAATCACAGTGTCTTGTTGTGTTCAGTTTTTTGGAACATATTCCACATTTGTATGAAGATATTTTAGGGTTCTTGGGGGGAGGGGTGTACAAAATATTTTATTGTAGGAGCTATCATGTCTGTTCAAAAAAAAAATAAATCCTTTTCTAAGCTTAATCTGGTTCTGAGATGAATGTTGGTGTAGTGTTAGCAATGTTAGAGGTGCTACACCACACTGCAGAGTAGCAGAGATGTGTGGCTGGTCTGAGTGAAGCTACAATGTTACTTCTTTTTAAGTAGACTTAATGCAGTCAGCCTAATGAAGTGGGCAACTCTTGAAGTTCTCATAGGAAATCTCTAAATGACACTACATCTGCACTTGGGAGGGAAGGGTGAAACCAGAGATGCCCACACTTGTGTGGGTTAAGCTTTGTAATTTATCACTGTGCTTAAAGGAGTCTTGCACTGACTTCTGCACACCAGTTATTTTGCCCGTACTCAATTCTGGCCTGTGTTGATGAACTCCTCTTTGAATTCAGCCCTCTGTAGCTAACATGGTTAAGTGTTGGTTGAAATCATGCTTACTAATTTTTGTACATTCAGCAATTAAAATAATTTCATTCAGTGTTTGATTTGCTTCTATGTGCCTTGAGGGAAAAAATGACAAGTGAGTAGCAGGATGTGAATCCTTGCACTGGTTTGAATCTTGTCCATTTGGGAGAAGGTCAGAGGTCACCACAGTCTGAAAGCAGTGGTCTACTTGTATGCATCCCAAAGGCTACAGTCCAATTTTGCAGGCACTAGATAAAACTTGCTCTCCTAACCGGATTAGCACTCTTAGCAGGTAAGTCAGGGACAGCATGAGTCTGGAGAGCAAGCTGCTTTTTCAGCTAGTGGACATAATGCTTGAAGGCAACATGTTCAGATATTGCAGAGTGGACTGTGCTACATCTAGAAAGAGAGAATTGCCATTCCAACATTTTTAAAAATGTGGTTTGCTTGGGTTGTTTTAAATTACTTTTTTTTTTTTAAGTTGACATGGATGGGTTCATTGGGCTAGCTCCTTAAATGCTGTAACAATCAGTGCTCCACTGATCTCTAGTCCATTCTTTTTATGTTCAGCAAGTTCTACCAATTCCTTGTGTGTTCAGCATGTTGTGCCTGAGACTAAGCCTACCATTTGGCATATTTACCTTTTGAAGGATTCTGCCTGCCTTTAGTAAAGATGTTATTTGTGCAACGTGTGATGCTCGGGAAACAATGTGTTCATGCTGTCTGATGTACAGCCAGGCAAAGATTCCCCCAAACTGGCAAAAGGAGTAGCTTTACCAGTGTAGCCCTCGGAGCTGATTAGTTTTGCTGAGAACCCAGGGCACATTAGACTGGACAGAATATCACACTCCTGGCTCTACTATCCCTGGGGCCCGAGCTGGTAGGCCTGTGCAACTCTGTGGTGTTGTGTAGGCTTATCAGCTCACTCCATGGGTTTCTCTCCAGAGAGCAACGTTGCAGGGTGTGAACATAACTTTAATCACATGATAATATTCCAACAACTTCCAGGTTTGGAATGGTCTTTTTTTTTTAAGAAAAAAAACCAAAACCCAAAATAAGAACAAGCAGCTTCAATGAAACCAGAGGGAATCTCAGATTTTGTTTTGAAAGCTAGAGGAAAACTGGCAGTGACAATGTCTGTTACTGATGCTGAGATTTGTTTGTTCTGAAAGTCAAGAAGCTTTCTCTTCTTTGTTCTAGTGGCAGTGCTGTGGGGCTTTTGGAGCTGATGACTGGAACCTTAATATTTACTTCAATTGCACAGATTCCAACGCAAGTAGAGAGCGCTGTGGGGTGCCATTCTCTTGCTGCACTAAAGACCCTGCCGTAAGTGCCGGTCATGAGGGTAGGATGGGTCTGCTGTTCCAATTTTAAATTGCTTTATAAGATTATTTTTTTTTTCTTTTTCTTGGAAGTCATGCATGATTGTTACCTTCTCACAAACGTGGATACTTTTTTTTTTTTTGTACTTGCAGTTCAGCTTAACCACTAACTTCTCTGCAGTCAGCAAAAATCCTGAGCTAACTTAAGTCTTCATTTTGTGCTGTTTGCTGCTTTTCATTAGAATGAGAGAGCCATGGGCTTGGCTAAACATACATATAAATTGCAGCAAGTATAAAAAGCAGAAGACCTTAATGAATTGAAGGATATGAGCTTTCGATTGAGTATCATTAGGATATTTCATTCAATGCCCTAACGAACAGCAGCTCTAAGGTCAGACACTCTAAAGCAGGTATTACTCATTATTTAATGCAGTGCCCAGAGGCTGCAGCCAGTTTGACCCAGTTTGTGCTAGGTACGGTAATGAATGACAGTCTGTGCCCTGAAGAACTGACATATGTTTGCATTAGAATCTTGAGTTGGGTATGGACATCTTTACATGCTCTTTTTTTTCCCCCCTTTAAAATCAGTGGTTGTCCTACAGTCACCTGAGATCAGACTTGGAAGGTCAGAAATTGTTTGAGAGAACAGCTTTTTGGTAAATTTTCATGTCTTTTTAAATAGTTACAGTTCTGAGTCATCAAGCAGAAAATGTTGGAGCCATACACTACTAGTACAGACATGATCAAGAAAAAGATGGGTGTGACCATGGAAACAGTTATGTGGCTAACACTGCATATATTTGACTTTCATATAGCTTAAAAGCAGCAGCCTGTGAGTGATTGTATTATCTAGTATTTCAGCTGTGGCTTTTTCCCCCCCTGGAGTTCCTTGAATATATGAGTCTGTAGCACTGACTAAAGTTAGGCAAGTTGCCAACAGGCACCTCAGGTGCTTCTTGCCTTGCTAATGCAATGCAGTCGCTGCTCCTGGCGTCCAGTCCCTACTGCTGCTCCCCCATCTTCCAATAAGGCACTGCCACTTGCACAAGCTGCATTCTGGTTCCTTTGCAGTGAACGTGTCTTCACAGTGGTTTGAGTCTTTCTCACAAACAAGCATTGCTGAAAATGTTTTAATGAAATAGAACAAAATGTAGGTTAGACTCAAGTGTTACATGATGCTTAGGATTCCCCCTACTGTTTGCCTATCTGCCCACCCACCCGCACAGAGAGGTCATCACAACCCAGTTTTAAAAATATAGTTGTTATAAAACCAAACCAGTGTCAGCAGTACAAGGTAATCCTATAAATACATAATCCATGCTAAAGTTATCTCTCTCTCTCTTTCTGTGTATGTGGTTATGCAGTTTTTTAGGGGGTGATGCAGCAACCAGAAATTTAAAGATAAGTCTCATTCATTATAGGGAAGCAACATGCTTAATTGCCTTTAAAATAAAAACTAAAAGTAATAATATTTCTAAAAATTTTAGAAGTCATGCATACAATGGATATAATTGTAACTAAGCTGTGACTGGTTCAGTTGCACATGTTTATACTGTGGGAATGCAAATTTGTCCCTTCTGGAATTAGGATGCAGTGTTGGACTGACGCAGAAAGTTACGTGGATGCTTTATTGAACAGGACTTAGTTTTAGTCTAGCTTTTAGTTTAGCTTGAATCAGGAAGTGGTAAGTTTAAGGTAGGCCAAAATAAGTCTCCTGTACAGGCAAGGCCTGGAAACGTTGATTTATTTCCATTTCATTCTTCACACTTTTTTTGGTTAACAAATTCCAAGGCTTAAGGCAGAAGACACTGATGATAAAGCAAGCAGGCATTCGATACAGAGAAGAAAGCGTAAAATCTCTCTGTTGGAATCTTATCTACTTTTACAGCCCTGAAATGCGTGGCACTGTTGTATTTTATATCCTGGAACAGAAGCATTCATCTTGTTAAAAGATACAAATTGCTCAAATCTTGAAGGTCCATTGAGGGAATTCAGCTTGGGCAACTGACAGGATGTGACCCGTTGATGCACTTTGTGCAAAGTGAGGAAACACTTAGAGGAGCTTTAACAGCTGTATGGCTGCTTTTAAAAATCTATTTCTCTGCTGGCTGCCTTTCTCACTTCCCACAATTTGATTACATTGTGGTGTTCAGTACACCTAGCTAAGATTGGCTGATTTTCTCACTTCCCTGAGTAGTTCCTTCTTCTGCTCCCTGTTGGTATATGAGCCAGTAACTTAATATTTTGCTGTCATTGTGGCTGACACCAAAAGTAGTTGCTTCATTTTATTGCCCTGAAATAACTCTGTAACAGACTAAATGTAGCTTCAGCTTCTGGTGGGTAGCACTTGTTCGCTAGGAAAAGTCTGCCATAGCCTGTTTTATTAGCTGTGCTTTGGGAGTACTAAAGCAGAGGCAGCAGGAAAAAAACCCTCTCCTTTCCCATTGGTATTGAGCTCCTGTAAGAAAGGATAGGCAGTAAGAACACAGTACCCCATCTCTTCTTTTTCCTCCCTGTTTTTTGGAAAGGAACTATGTACTGTATGTATTTCTACAGACATCCTTGGTAAGAACTTGCAGCTTCTGCAACAGAATTGCCCCTTCTTACCTCTTCACACTGCACAGACTGAACTCTGAAAAGGTTAACAGTAGTCTTGGCATATTTTTCAGTACAGACAAAACCTTTCAGCAGAAGGGACTTTTGCTTAAGATAGATGTTCCCTAATCCCTTTACTTCGACTTCTTGAATGCTTGCATCTGGAGCATGGAGTTCACATAGGTGGAGGGCCAGTTTTCCCAGCTTGCTGCCCTGAGAGCTGAAAATATTTTTTTGACAGTGTGCTTTTGTTTGTTTCAAAATATTAATAGCACTGAATAGAAAAGGAAGGGATTTTTAAAAAGCAATATGGTAACCAAGGCTAGGACGATTGTCTTACTACATACAGGACCAACTCTGGGGAGCTGGGAGAGGGTGTTTGGGAGACATTTCACTGATTGCCTCTCTCCTGTCTTTCTTTCTCTCCCCCCCCCAGGAAGATGTTATTAATACTCAGTGTGGCTACGACGCAAGGCAAAAACCAGTAAGCTTTTTTTTTTTTCTTTTTTTTCTTTTTTTTTTTGGTAACGTGGTATCTTAAGGATCTGAATCGCTCTTGCAAGAGCAGGTTATTCTACTGATGGGGTAGTTGAATGTAATTATCTCTGTTTTCTTTCCTCTTCTCCTTGGCAGGAGGTGGATCAGCAGATTGTTATCTACACTAAAGGCTGTGTCCCTCAGTTTGAGAAATGGTTGCAGGACAATCTTACCATAGTTGCTGGTATATTCATTGGGATAGCATTACTGCAGGTAAACATCATATTCCTTGTAACGTGTTACACAGAACAACAGCAGATAAATAGAATATGTGAGGGGAGAACTGGAAATACAGCGTCACTTGCACTGAGAAATATAACGTCTGTAGGTTTTAGTGAGGGGATCTAAATGTATGAGGCTTGCTTTGTTTTAAGGAGTATTTAGTTTTTATCTGTAGGAATGTGTTTTTTTCTTTTCAACTGTCTGTGGGTCAAAACTAACATTCTGTGTTAGACAAAGATTAGGTAGAGATTTTTAAGCTGGTAGACACCTGATGTTGTTGATGGTGCTTAGATGAGCAGAGAAAAACCTTTACAGTTGCATTTGTGAAGCAAGTCTAAACTTTTCCATTTCCTGGAACCCAGTGGCACTATAAAAATACTGGGGTTACAGGAGTTTTTCGATACTCTTCCTTCTTCCAACACTTACTGTTAATTTGATTTCTAACTTTGTGTTGCTTGTTCTCATACCAAAGTTCTGTATAACCTAAGGAGTTTGCCTGTGTGAAAAGAGTTGTCCAATGCTCCAAATGAATAAACTGTTGTCTCTTCCAGATATTTGGGATATGCTTAGCCCAGAATTTGGTTAGTGACATTGAGGCTGTCAGAGCCAGCTGGTAAAACTGCTGAAGTAACCACAACAAGACACTGGACAACCGAAACCCTCTGAAACCTCCAGTGTGTCGCTCCGACACCAAGCTGCATGGACATGGGTGACAGGGAAGCCTTCTCTCCCAAGTAGTCTCAAATCCAAGTTCCTGATACTGCAGTGAACTCGTGTTTCTTTGGGGTGGGGGAGAGAAGAGTGGGCTATTTAAAACCTGCTGCTCACTGACAACTTTTTTTTTTTTCTCTTAAACCACCAGTTTGAAAGCTGTTGAGCCGTGAATCTCTACTGTATTCTTGATCCTGAGTAACAAGTGGACACTTTTTAAAATTGGTGTATTCAGTGGGACAGAGTTGCATCATTGTAGTCTGTGGATATGCTGTTTATTCTTCGTGTCATGAGCTCTTTGATAGCTGCCAAATATTCCTGAGATGGTCTCTCTCCTCACCACTCCATAAAGGAACAATCTTCTTGTTTTCACAGCTAAACATAGCTACAGGCCTAAACCCATCAAGCAGGAAGCAACTTTCTATGCATCTATTGTACAGTAAAAGAAATTGTTTTTAAAACAAGGGAAAATTTTTTTTTTATGCAAGCTTCCAACCATCTCCTTATTGTACTTTGAGGTTGGAATCAGCAAGCTCATAGGGAGAATTGCCTAATTTTATCAACATCTTTCTTCCTTCTCCACCCTTGTATGAAGGGAATGGGGTTTTGTATTTGACAAACAAGGGTTGTAGAGCCTTTGGTTGCTGCCATACCTTAGGACTTCAGTCTCTTAAGGCAAGGATGGGATATAACTGTATAAATGTATGAAAGCAGTGTGGATGTTGGGTCCAAGTGAATAATATTATTCAAAGAATGAATTATATATTAACTTAAAAAAGATCAAAACATATGTGTCTGATATGGCTAAATCTTTTGTTTCTCTGGAGTTTAGTGTAACCTAATGTATTAGGGATCTCACTAATATTAGTGCTTTGATATTCTTGTGCAAAACGTCTTTTAAGATAATTCCTTGGTCTGTTCCTAGCTGAGGCTTTGGTCTTTCTTTTTTCTTTTTTTTTTTTTCTTTAATTCTTTTTACTTGCATGAGCTGTGGAGTAAGAATCTGTGACACTCCAGTGCTTTAAATCTGTGCATATGTTTTAATACAGTCTAATCCAAACTTATTTATTGGTAAATGCATGTGATTATGGAAAGATCATATCCCATTCTCTTGGAAGTTGGAGAGAACAGCTTTTGCCAGAGTAAATGCTTACCTCCAGTGGACAAATCCTTGCTATGGAGATGTGTCTCCCTTTGTTGTTCTAAATGCAACAAAAAGCTTTCTTGAAGCAATGGAATAAAAGTTTTAAAATGAAGTGCATATTAGGATCAGCCAAGACAGACTCTTCTGAATTGGACAAAAGAGAGCAGAATTTGGAATAAAGCACAAATAAGTGAAAGAAGAATTAGGTCAGACTCCATCCAGCTTAGAGTTTTTGATTTGTTCTTCTTCACTAATAATAGTGAACTTACAAACCTTACCATGGCTTGGGTAGTTTTATTGCACTTTGTATAAATTTAGCTTGTTGTATGACCCTTCTCAGTATCTGCAGAACCAGTCCTGAAAGCTGCGAGCTCTCGGCTCCTGCTTTGGTCAGGCAGTGGCAAAGGGTGGATAGCACCTATTTGTAAGAGCTTAGCATCTTTCTGAGATGAGTTTCCTGAAATGAAGTATGCGGAGTAGAAGAGATGAGCGCATTGTTTTCAAAGCTTCCCTGTTCTGGGGGACGGATAGAAGGCTGGACTGATGACCTATTAAGGTCCTTTCTGGTCCTGTGACTCTTAAACATGTGAGTATATGTACCCTTGCACATTTTGCCTTTCTTGTGCTTTAGTTGGCCGTGGTTTTTTGTTCCCCCCCTTGCCCCTCTGAAGCCTGGTGGTAGGCACACCGGCGCTTCTCAGATGCCTCAGACAGTGCTGTTGTCCTGTCTTTGAGCATTACCTCATCCTTTTCTGGTTAACTCCCACTGACTGGCTCTGAATCAGGCAGCCTCCATATCCTTTGGTATCTGCTGTTAAAGGCCAGCCATGACTCAGAGTAATTTATTTTTTTTTAAAACCTTTGAAAGCAATTATAATTCACTATCCTTAATAAAGTTGGTTCCACCTCACCACAGTGTTATGTTTTTCTTAGCCACTCCTCAACTTGAGGAATTACTGGTGTTTGTTTCCCCCCAAAGGGACACACCGTTTTGCCTGATAGCAGCAGGACAGACAGACCATCAGCACCAGTGTTGCTGCAGTGAGACAAAATGGTGCGGGGAGAAATTGGGGAAGCGTGGTTGAGGAAGTTACCCCTCCACCCAGGAGCCTTGATTGAGATCCAGCGCTTTGGTTTGGAGAGAAGGAAAAAAAGCCTACACTACAGAAACGTTCCTTTTTGCCACTGATCTTGAAAACTGCTGTTGCTGCTGGGGGCTTCTGAAGACAACTTCATTCTTCTACTTGAATTTCTGCAGTTGTACTGTATTGGCCTTCTGTCTTGTCATGCTGTTCTCTGAGTTCCAGTCTGCTGGACGTGCTGTTGGCAGTGTCAGACTGATAGGAAGGTAAATGCTCAGAGGTGAGCAAATCTCGTTCTCGCTACTTGCACGTGTACGCACAAAGGTGCAACACTTCTGCTGAGTCCCAGAATGACTGACTGTTCTTATAAAAACCACTAAGTAACTTATTTTTTGAGAGCTTGTCTTTATTGCTGCAGATGCCGATCTTCCCCCCTTCCCTGCTCCCAAGAGACACTCTTATTTTCCTCATTTTTGCAGTTGTTTTATGGCTGCATATGGAATGTTCAGGATTAGCTGTCTATATTGCACATTTGAATCCCACATTTTTTTTGTCTACAGTTTGGGTAAGACGTCCTAGAAATGCCCCATCAGCAGCTACTCAGCAGCTTAGTTGTCCCGTTTGCGAAAGCTTGTGGGAGGCCCCGGAAATCAATCTCTTACTATCAGAGCCTGCCAAATGCAAGCAAGCTTTCTTCCAGAAAACTTTGTGAAAACTTCAGGTGAGCTGCAACTAGAGCACAACTGTTAGCTACGTGGGCTCATTTTCTAAAGCAATAAGATGGGGTAGGCGGTGGTGACTACTTGGCAATTTCTGGCCTGCCTGGTGTCATGGTGGCGTAGATGTGAGTTCAGAGGTCGGTCTAATTATCTTTAGCGTGCAGTAGTTGTTTGGAAATTTGTTGTCAGGCTTGCGGCCCTCATGGAGTGTGCAACAGCTTGCTGGGCGATTTGTATGGGATTGGTGGCGTTGTTACCGAGAGGTCTGGTAGGTGCAGCAGTAGCCCTGGCTTTAAGGCAATTTCCAAATTCCCCACTGAGCCCTGCCAAAGGGTATCACAGTCCTTGCTCCCCTCTGCTTTCAAAATACTCTCCATGTTCACAGGCCTTTCTGTTGTTTGATCTCTCTCTCTCTGTTTTTTGGTTTGGTCTTTTTTTATTTTTATTATTTTTTATTAATAGCCTAATGGACAGGTGTTCGATTTGTCTCTGTGTGTCCATTTCAGTAGCAGTAGGTTATCTTCAAAATCCATCATTTGAATTGTGCCCCTTAGAGTTTGAAGCTGTGGAGATGCTCGCTGAAGCGTGCTCTGTGCTGGGAGCCGCCTTCTCTCCCCTGCGAGAGAGACGCTCGCCCTGGTCCTGGTGTGTAAATAGCGTTTGAGATGTAAATAGTAGCATGCAGGTTAAACGATTCTTGCACATGACTGCTTTTTCACCCTAAAAGCGTTTGTTACGGCTAGGAAAGCCGTCCACTGG